TGTGTTCAGGGCTGGAATGGTTCGACTTTCTATCAGTTTCTGGAGATATATAGATTATAAACGTGAACCATGTAGAACTGGATTATTCTTGCTCCATTAACCATCTATTTAGCAGCTGAAGGGGTTAACACATTGACAATAGATCATGATAAATAATATGCATTTTATGTTGACAATCCCTGGGAGTCAGTTGATCTGGAGGCTCCAAACAACACTCATTCCTGTGAGCCCACCCAAGTTAGTTCTATAATTAATTTAATTGGTTGCATTTGATTTGGCAATATTAATTAATTTTTTTGGCGCTCATTCTGCTGGGCGTAACGAAAAGGCCAAGTATGGGCGGTGACCCTCTTTACTTTTTGTTGCTTCCGTGGGCGGACATTTAGAGCATTCTTGGAAAACGGCAGAGCGTGTGTGTATTCAAAGGAAAGGAGCTGAGGAAGGACCATCAACTGTAGGAAGGATTGAGACTGACCTAAGAGTGTAATGATGATGATGGTGACAATCCTGTTGATTTTATTTACAGTTTTGTAAATTTTCGCATTAATAAAATCGTCCAACAGTTTCCTTTCCTATTCTACTTTTTTTTTACAACGATGATTCAATCATTGCCATAAGGCATTCTCACACTTGACTAGGCCCTACGTTTTGTAGACCTCGCAGAATTTCGTGACAGTGCAACTTATGAGAGGACATCGTACTTAAATACAAACAAACAGATAACAGACAAACAAACAAACTGTTATCGAGACTTATAAGATTACAACACACGTGTAAATTATTCATCAACATGCACGATTAAGCTCACGTTTCTTGTGCTTGAGAAGACGGTCAAGGCTCCGGGCCATGGCCTTGAAAAAAAGACAAAAACATAAATCAGGGGCGCATCGCACACATCCAGGATTTGGGGCAAGGAAAGATTCTCACATGAAAGAATAGGCCTAGACAGCAATATTACGATATAAATGATATAAACAGTATATAATGAAAGTAAGAGTAGTTGCCCATTTGCTGCTTGTTCATGACTTAAACTTAAATTGTTTCTCTATTATCCTCCTTGGCTTGCCCAAGTCGAGAAACTGCACCCATACACCCCGTTATCACCGTTATCACCGTCCCCTCTTGTTGCAATAATTTCACCTTGGTCATGCATGGCACTTTTTGTCTTTTTGTGCCTCCCCCCCCCCTTTCTCCAATTGGATGTACTAACATCTAATTAGATCGCTTTACCAGACTGCTTGTAGGACAACAAGATGCATGAAGTGAGATTATGCCCAGCAGAGAAGGCCGGGGTGCTTTTGCGGCTCATGGTATGGTCGTGGACTCGAAATAACTGACGGACGCAGAATATGTCAGTCAGCTGCGTAAAAACATTTATTTATTCTATTTAGGAAAAATTAAGTGGATTCATTAAATTCTTACTTTGTTGTAAAATATAATTGATTGAAATTGTGTGAGGATGCTCTATAGCCTATATAGGGTAAAAATGTTAAGCCTAGCGATTGCTTTGTTGACTACAATAAAGAAAAAAATGACTGTCCGCCACTGCTTGTACATGTAATTACACACATTTCCTCTCGTCGAGTGGCGCTGGCGATTGGCGTCATGCAATCTCATGAAAAGTCAAGTGCAGAAGAGCACACACAAGTACGGCCGTGCATGCTAGCGGTAATTAAATGAGTGAGCTTATAACAATCAATTTCTGCTCCGTGTAGGGTATCGAGCTGTAGGCCTATTTATGTTTGGTTTGGATCTAGATCGAAGCTTAATCGCACACTGAAAACCATAACAATCCTATTATTATGAATATGTGAAAGTAAAACCCTTCCCAATGCAATGACTGTACTTTAATTTATACATTGGTGTGGGTTAAAGTGTTTATAACATTTTAACGCGCCGCGCGTAACAGGTTGGGCGGCAAATGTCGCGGGTATCAGCTGTGTACACACTTTGTCATTCAAACGGCGAGGGTTTTACAGTTTTACATCACCTGATGTATGTGTCCTTATGGCATGGCCGCACACAAGCGCGTTTTCGAGCACGTGCAGCACGCACGCACATACGTACGCACGCACGCACGCTCACACGCACGCACGCGCGCTCGCACACAGATAAAACACAAACACTCATAAACTACTGTACACGACTTTCCATTACGTTACGACCGTGCTGAAGTGTAAGAAAATGAAAATCGCACATACACAAGGCCTATAGATGTCTACATTATGTACAGCCACGCCACCCTCAAGCCCTTCGACCCAACTAATTAACAGAAAAGTAAACATGTAGCCTAAAACCCCCCCCAAAAAACAACC